AGTCATTGAGGGCTATATAAGATATGGAAATATCAACACGTAGGATATGATAGACGATCCTTTAATTTTCATATCTTTCTTCGTTCGTTTTATGAAGACGTCAGCAGACGAAGTATTGAAGATGTAGTAAGATGGAAATATGGTGGTGAAATACAAAACTCTTAGTATTTCACTCTGAGGACGCATATTTAGCGAAAGAATTACTTGACGGGACCCTATCAGAAATCAGAATGCTTGACGGGACCCAATACGTTCCATTTTACCCGATGGACCCTTGGGACTGCACTTCAGTTCACCGTCACTTCTGTTCTTATACGAGTTCTCGTAACTGATTTAGTAAATTCTCCCCGAAGTTCAGTTAGTCAGAATTCCCATGGCTGCCAATCTTCATCATGTGAGAGGCCAATTTCTCACGGCCGATCATGATTTTACAGTTATAATGTAGGGGCGTTATTTACTTACACTTCTTGCTAGGGCCGAAGTCATGTTAGCTGCGTATTTTGGTCCGTGAAGGTGCCTAGTTTTAAACTAGGATGCATTCGTCAACAAAGAGCCGCAGTGCTTTTCCTAACCCTGACTCAAAGCAATTACAAGAACTCGTAGTATAACATCGGTGACGGTGTACTCAGCTGCCGTCCGAAAGGTCCCATAGGGTAAAATAGCACGTATTGGGTCCCATCAATACATTTGCATTCTGATGGGTCCCATGACGGGACTCCCATCAAGTAATATATCTCTCCGTATTTAGCACAATGAAGGGAATCGCGAATGGAACCTTGAGTCTGGAAGACGAAGATAAAGGTATCGTTCCTAGAAGCGCGTGGCGAGAGAGTAGACAATGCAAACACCTGTTCTTCTGACTGAAGTACGGCTTCGCTGAATGAAAAAGTCTTGTTACGCGTGTAGTCCTGGTTGCCGATATGCAGCCTCCAAATGGCGACCTCAAGTGAAGAGTTCGCTGTTATACTGGAATGGAAGGAAGGTTCCGTTCTCCTTCAGCGTTTTCAACGGAAAACAGTCTCCACGGACACGCCCTCACAAGTGTCAAATTTGTATAGAGTTCATGTCTACTAATGGGACCCAATAAGTTTTCTTTTACACGATGTACCCTTCCCATGACACTTCAGTTCACCGTCACTTCTGTTCTCATACCAATTCTTGTAACTGCTTTGTTTCCATTTCTGTAGAAAAAATAAATTCTTCCCAAAGTTCAGTTAATCAGAATTCCCATGGCTACCAATTTTCATTCAGTAATTCTCTCAATTTCCCATGAACTTCCTAGCAAAATTCATGTGATTGGATAATGTTCACGCTTATTTATAGAATTCCTTGTTTCTAGGGGCTAAGATGTGATATAAGACTAGATAATTGGGGTATGTGATATCATGCACTTGTTAGTATGCTCTTTCTTCTGCTCTCTCTTTGGTATTTGCGTGATAATGGTGGTATGTGATATCATAAACTAGTCAATATGCTACTTCTTTCTTCTACCCTCTCTTTGGTATTTGTGTAAAAATGGGAGGTGGAGATTTTGAACAACTAGATTTGGAAAGATTTGTTGTGAGATTAGACTAGATTGACAGATGAGTATGTGATGTATTATACAACTTAAAAATCAAAATCAGTCCCATGATAATTCAATTTTGACTCAATTTAAACAAAGTAAGTTTTCAAAGCCTTGATATTAGCACATTAGATCTATTATATTGTTGTCACACCTGTCATATATTGTTTTTATCAACTTCAAAAACGCTAGAACTCTATACGTGTAGGAAGATTGTTGTGACATAAAATAAAGATTCTAAAAAAAAGTTTCTACTTATAAACTAAATGATCAACATCTTCCACCTCAACATTTGCTCAAACACTCCTGAAAAACCTATGGAATTTGGAGTCTAGACATTACACGGACTAGAACCTAATGTCTGAATTCAGATATAAACCATTGTGACATGTCTCCTGGTTCTTTCTCAATATTGCCATTATATGAAATTTATGTGTTGTGACTCTACTACACAGAACTTGTATCCTCTCATCAACACTTTCTAGCAGCAAGTAAACTAATAATAGGAATCAAAGTCATCTCATATTTCAAATTATACCTTAAAACAATTTCTTTTTATACAAACAAAAGATTAGAGATATATTTGAAAGAAACTCTAAAATTTGGGACTTAATTGTGTGATCATCAATGCAATCTTGTAACTGATTATATACAAAAGATTGAGATATATTTTTCATTCAACATCATCAATTAATCTAAAACTTTAGTCTGCTTAATATATTTAGTATTAAACTCTTTTTTAAACACTCTTTATCCTTAAAATCTCTTGTAAAGACTAAAAAACAAAGGTATAAAACATGATTCTAGATGTCAAGCATTTTAAATCCAACTTTAAAATAGCACAAGACATATAGATCTGCTTAAAATTTTATTTTGAATATTCAAGCCTTTTTTGTTTCAATTTTAAATCGTCTCAATATTTTTTTCAAAGTGTCTTAAATATATTTTTGAAGCATTTTTTATCTCGTAATACCAGTGAAAATATTTTTATTGATCTAAATCATCTCAATCAATCAATGTAAAGATAGCAAAGTTGAAACAATTCATCACTTTGTAATTTTAAATGTCAACACATTTTTTCTTCAGCTTATAAACATAATACGTTAAAAATAATGAATACAAAACAATATACTTATGTTAAATTTTACACATATACATGAAAATTTTAATTGCAATTTTATCTTGCAATGCAAGACATATATTTTTCCATGTGCTTAAGATTGTAATCAATCTAACAATATACCATGAATGAATTTCATCTTTGGGATTAAATACCATCATGATGACAATTGACTGAAAAAAACTAAAATCATCATTTCTCATAATAATCATATGATATCAGTACAATTTATAATTCAAGTACATTAATAAAGTAGAAGTCTAAAAATAGATAAAGTTTTTACATGATCAAAATTAGTGACCTATACATGCAATGAAATTTTGATAAATGTTTCAATAAATAGATGCAATGTTAAATTTAAAATTTTCTTTCTTGTTACAAATTTTTCTATGTATGCTACTTGTGTAGTTAATTCTCTCAAAAATTAAGAAAATAATTACACTTTCAATAACCATAGATTTTTTTCTTGCCTCTTTTTGTGTTATTTTTGGCAAATTAAAAGTACATGGATTTTTTTTCATTTAATATGAATTTTTTATTATTCTTGGCCATTAGTATTTTCTCTAATTTTTTCTTTTTACCTACTATGTGCTCCATTAAAAATAATTTTTCAAATACTTTTTTTAAAAATAATATTTATAATTAGATTTTTTTTAAAAAAATTTAAAAATAATAATTTTTTTGATGGAAATTTTTCAAATTATCAAGTTGTAAATACTTCACTGTTATATTATCTTTAGGAATATTGAAGTTATATAGATCTCAGATTATTACTGTATCATTTTGAAAATAATATTTTTCAAATAATGATGAATTATTGAAATTTCATAAAATTATAGTTTTTTGTACAACTAGATTTGAAATATCCTTTCATACATGTCCATTTTACAATGAAAAATGTTGACATTAACTTGCTGAGTATAGCAAGTGTTTTAAAAATAAATGCTGATTTCTTATTTTTTTAAATCTTGGATCGATTTATTAAATTTATTAAATTTCAATTTTGACAAACATGTTTATTTTTCATTCAATTTATATCTGGTTTAATGTGAAATAACATATTTGCATACACTTAGTTTCAACTCATGATGTTTATTTTTTAATAAAAATTTCAAATAGGATAAAAGTCTCTAATATGAGAATTAAATTTTTTATTTTCACTAAAATAGTGTTGAAAATGGATTAATTAGAATAAAAAACTACTGAAATTTTATTTTATTTGAATACATTTCAGAAAAAATATTGAAAAAAATGAAATTATTTCATAAATTATAATATGGGTATTAAATTTTTAAAAATTAAAAAAATTGGCAGTTTTTTGTGATGTTTTAAATTTTAGTAAGATTAAAATCCTGAAAAATATCAGTATGGATTTTTATAATATTCTCACATTCAAGCACATTCAATTTATAATACTATGAATCTATATTCCAAAATTCTCATTGAATTGAAAATTCATTAGACAAAATAATTGAATAATCTGATCTTAAAATGTGAATACACTATTGCAATCATCATAAAAACTGGCAATATAGCTTTAAACTATATAATTGTGGTTTTTAAAAATCAGAGTTTTTGAGAATATATCATTACAATGATAAGTTCTTATATATATTTGATCAATAAACTTTTATTATGGTTATTTCAGTTTAAAAATTGGTATGTTACATAATGTATCAAAAAATTGTATGATAATAAAATTATGCAAAATAATAAACTGGATTATTTTTTGAAGCTTCAAGATAATTTGAATTTTCAGAAATTTGAGAAGTTTATCTATTCTTTGATATTCAGAACATATTGCTTGTGCAAGCATTTTTTTTCATCAAGAGAATCTGAAGGTTATGTTTGTATGAAAGAACAAGCATGAGCAACTTTTAACTTTTGATTATTGCATATTCAAAAATGTATTGAAGATGTGATTTTTGCTCCGTGAAGAGAGCACATATATTTCACATCTTCATGCTAGTATCACAGGAGGATATCTTAAGATTGGTACTTATTCGGATGCAATCAATGTGTCTATGAAAGGTTGAAAGGCTGTAGATAGCTATCCATAGTAATACTTGATGCATGCTTTTTCCTAAGTCATGAGAGCATGTAATTCTCACATACATTACTATGTTCTGGACTCAACTTGGACTATAATTGCCTTAACCTGATTCAAGAGTTACAAGTTATTTTCTTAAGAGTCTTGGATTACAGTCTACATCAGTAAACATGTAACAAATGGAGCGACACAAACCAAGTTTCTTTTAAAATTTGGATCAAATAAAGAATTCAAAAAAACAATCTTATGCGACTTGACTCTCTTTAGCGGAATATTGCATAGCCTTTATTAAGTAGCTTATTTGATGCTTTACTCCTTTGGCTTTTCGGGGTCTTCCCATTCTCAGAGCTCTACATTATTTTTTCCATCAGAATTTATACACGAAACGAATGTACAGTATAACCAAAAACTGTACCAAGGCTTTCCTGCCACTGATCACTTGAGAGCTTGATACGAAGCGGAGAACACAAGTTCACGCGGCTAAGCAAAGCAAGCTCCGCGTCCGTGAGGGTAACAAGTGTCACCTGACGAAAAGAACGTTGGGAGTTATGCTTGGAGAGCTGGGCGGGCAGGACTTCCCCACTTCCTCCATGGAGACCATTTCAGCGCCTACAGAAGTTTCTCCCAAAAGCTGATGAATGTTCAGGGTTTGCACTGGCAGAGAAAGCATAACTTTCTGTCACCCCTCGTCTTCGATAGTCAAGTCATCCACTGCGATTTCTGCGTCAAGAAGATTGCTGAAAAACCTTCCAGATGTCCGGGGATATTGACTTCGTGGACTTTGCCCACCATGACTCACTATGACGATGACGAGCACCTACACTTCTGCAGATCCTACTACTTCTCGTTCCTCTTCCTTCCCCAGCTTTCAGGAGAGTTAGCAGATGGATGAGCTGAATCATGCCTCGGACTAGTCTCTTTCGAAAGATGAGTCTCCATTTCGTCGATTCATATCGTACACAAAAATCGGTCTCCTCGCAATCGTAACCTCCCCTTTGTCACCATCTTTCTCTTCAGTAAAAGTCAAAAGTTCGCGAACTCCCCGTTCTAAATCTAAGATCTGCCGGAGACCGACTACACCGAACTCGTGATTATTAGAGCTTCCTCGTCTGATTCTTGGGCACACCCGACCCCAGACAAGTTCACAAAGGCTCGACATCGGCATCACTAACTTTGGAAATCGAACAAGAAGAGAACGTCGGTTGTCTAGGGTTTGCTCTCGGTTCTTGCTGCCACAACTAACTTCTTGGATCGCCTCCTGTCAGTATTATCGCCTCCATTAGCACTCGCCTTAATCTTTCTCAATTATCCCGTTCGATGCACCGTGAGTTCATTTCGTAGCGAGTGCTACAAGCAACTTCATTTACGAGCATTGTACTAATACAATTCAGTCCCCTCCTTTAATTTGGACACAACAAGGATTTCAAGAATACATATGAGCTACCGAACATATTATCAAATGTTTCCAAAAAGAGTCGTCAAACTAATGTTCTTATTAGTGAAAATAGCTTGCAAGGGCGCGAGATTGTAATTTAATCCACATATCCCCTGCAGACAGAATCTTAGAAATATGAGTTTCCGCCACCGAATTAAATGATTTTATGGGTAATTCATTCATCATCTCCCAAGGTGCCTGACAATCAAAGAAGGATGTAGGGACATCTTGTGTAGTGTGGAGAAGCATTGAGAGAGCACTTTAGCTTGGTAAAAGTGGTGGTTTAGTAAAGTAGAAACTCGCTTGCAACATCATCTGCTTGTACCATAATAAAAACGGTATGAACAATGTCATCAATGGGTTTTGTTGCATCATTTTTTTTTCATTTTTTTCTCTTTTATTGATGTTTCCAACACGTTAACGAGAGAATGTTATCCAGCTTCGTCGTCATCGAAAAAGTGGGGCTCCTCTTCATGTAGCCTCAATAAATACAGTGCCATACATCATGTAACTGGTCTTTGAGGAAAATGATGAGGTGGGGTGGATAATTATACCTTGTCATTTGATTTCTTTTCCCAAGATTCCAATTTAATAAAATATAATAACAAGTACTATCTCTAGTTCCTTGTGTTGTCGCAGGTCCGAGGTTCTTCATTCTCTTCAGTGGAAATAATAGTTTATGAACATATCATGTGTATCGAATGATCTGATACAATAAGCGGTTTATCGAAACCTCTATCCATTGCCAATGGCTGGAATCCTCACCGAGCACATCGGAAGGTGGTATCCAGGATTAAAACGCACACCTTGATGGAGATATAGAAAGGAATACAAACCAATCGATGCTCATCTGAAGTCAAGAGAAATGGACGCATATTTCGGCCAAAAACAGTTGAATAGGAAATGCATCATATTTCTTAAAAAGCTTGTCAAAGGACATCAGCATATACACGAAGATGTGGCCATTACAACCCTTCATGAACAAGGGTGCGAATGAGTGAACCGAGTTCAGTCATTCAACCTAGAGTAAAACATGAGGAGACTGACGTCGAGTATTCGTACGTCTAGCCATTCATCTCCAGCGTGGAATCGGAATCTTTGAAGATACCAAAGATGACGAAGAAAAAATACGGGCATGCAGTATATACCCATCCCATTCCATAGACGCCGCAAAGTACAATCTAAACATCAGCGAGCATAATAGATAATAAATTCACATAAAATGAAAGGTAAAGATGGGAAAATCGCGAATGTGAACGAGAAAAAATGAGGAGCTCAAGAATATGCTATACAGTGGTAGCATACGTACTCCCGCGGTACATGCAGATCGGAGACAAGGTCATCGCAAGCTTTACACGGTTGACCATGTTGTAGATAAAAAACGTTTGCGGACAAAGGGGCACAGAGAGTGACATTGTCATAATTGATTGCGGAAGGTGGAAGTGGTCCCACCGCGACCCGCGATTAGATTAAGCAGGCCCGTGGACAGGAAGGGAGATTTGACTTCCTATTCTCTCGTGGATCCGAATTTATTACTTCGGAATTCCGAGGCAGAAAAAGAAACAGAGAACGAAAGGAAGGAAGGAAAATAGAAAGCAGAGAGGGAGAGGGACAGAGAGCGGAGTCAGCCGACGAAGAGACAGCCGATGTCCGTCCGGGCAGATCTTCAAATCAAAAGCTGAGCGGACGACGGGGCAGGAAGCACGAGAAGAGTAGAGGGCGACGCGCGGACGAACGAGAGGAGCGGGCTCAGCACAGAGAGACAGAGAGACAGAGAGACAGAGAGAGAGAGAGAGAGAGGAGGAGGTGGAGGCGGGGATGGTGGTGGTTGCTGCTGCTGCTGATGCACTTGTGGCATAAACAGGAATTGCAAGAAGGGGCTTCCTCTGGTTCTAGTTCTTGGAGCGGCGTGGATCTTGGTAGGAACGTTCGAGCGGACGCTGCAACTGCTGCTTGCTGCTGCCGGCTGCTGGGAGAGAGAGACGGACAGAGAGGGAGAGAGAGAGAGAGAGGAGTGATTTCACAGGTCGTCGTGAGAGAGTGAGGTCGTGGCACTGTCCTTTTTCGTCACTGCTCAAACTCTTAGATTCGATTCGCTGTTTTGCGCTGGTATTTTACTATTTTTTTTTTTTTGGCTCTTGCGCTGTTGAGTCCAGGTAGTGGATGGATGGATGGATGGTAGATTGATGGATTGATTGATTGCCAGTGAGTGTGTGTGAGCGAGCATACAAAATCGAGAGACTATGAAGGCTGCAGGCGGGATGAGAGTGTTGAATCAGCTCTTTCTGTCTACGGGCTGAGCTTGTGCTGATTTGCTCATCCAGTCGTCCAGTGCTCTGCCTGGAGTTGGCTGAGCTCAATTGATCTTGCTCTGTAAAGGGTCGGGAAAGCCGTGTTAGGTGCAGGCAATTCATTCATTGCAGGAGCTTCTCTATCTGGAAGCTAATATACTTCGATTCTGGAAATTCTTCTTTACAGGGGATCACCGTCAATCTTCGTGTTTGAAGGTTAAGATCACGAGATGGCGAAACTAGGACCTCCTTACACTTACGAGGTCGCAGATGGTGTGGAAGCTCAGGATGGCCGTCCTTCCATCGGGAAGACTTTTAAGAGCATTTACGCCAAGGAGGGAGTACCTGCTTTGAAGAATATCGAAACTTGCTGGGACATGTTCAGGTTTGTCAACTCCGCACCATGCCCCAATTAGTCAAATATGGAAGTGCAATGAGTGGATCACGGGGAAACTTTGGAGGGGAAAATTAGATTCCTTTCTGGTAGTTGTCCAATTTTTTTTGATCTAGCGACGGGAGGAGGCTCAGAAGTTTTTCGTCAATGTCGTGTCCTTTATCACGTGATATTTGTTCTTTGATTAGTTTCAGGCATCCAGTTATGTTCTGTTTGTTGTACCTTGGAAAGCTGGATGCTTTGGCTGCAAATTTCTACCTTGTTTTCGTCGGGTCCCCTGGCGTCCGGCAGAGCTGCCGCAATGACCAAATCGCTGGGTTTTACTTTAGATATGAAGGATGCAAATGCGTGACACAGCAAATGCGTGATAGCATGGCTAACTACGGTTGCGAGTCCACGATGCTCTATTGATGGGGATTTCTGGTTTTACTCGTGCCAGCGAGTTTCACCTACTCCTCGCCGATATCGGCTGGCCTCTTCTAAATTGAAAATCCATGGAGAGAAAAATTGTTGTGATTCCACTTGGATCAACCCAAGTTTTCACAATGAGGAGCCTGCTGAGCCGATCTGTCTGCGGGAATTCATGTAGATCAAAAGAGGCGTCTGTGTGGCTGGCTCACGAGAGTTCTTGACGGGTGTCTTTCCGACCATGAACTTCATGCCATGCTGCCCCGATTGTATAATTCGCCAACTAATAAGTGTTGTTCATGCATTGTTCTGTTTTCGACAGTGTGTCTGCGAAGAGAAATCCCGACAGAAACATGCTGGGAGTGCGAAAAATATTGGCGGACGGGAAAGTAAATATCCTCACTTTTAATGATCCACATATTTTTTGCCTGTCTATGGAAATAGAGAGGGGTTTGAGAGTCTAATACCGTGTGATGGGTCGGGCATTTTAGCATAATTGTCGTAAAGTCTTACGTTGATCTTGGACCTTGTTTCACGTACTGATGTGATCGTACTGTTTGCTGTTTACAGGCAGGAGAATACGTTTGGCAAACGTACAAGCAGGTGCTCGACAAAGTGACAAAACTTGGGTCAGCCATGCGACATGTTGGAGTCAACCCGGTATATTCCAGACCCCTGTTCCGCGCGAGCATTCCATACTTTTTGACACCTCTAGAACCTTGTGCCATCACTCAATACCACGTCTCTTTTCTATCAACCAACATCGAGGGAGTAATCTTCTTCGGAGAATTATCTGAACTGTTGTGGGGTACATGTCCTTTTGACCTATGTGCAGAAAGATCGTGCCGGAATTTATGGAGCCAACACACCTGAATGGTTCATGTCCATGGAGGTACGATGAATGCCACAATGACGAGACCTAACTTTCCTCAGCTATACATGTGATCATTTGATTGCTGCCTATATCCATCAGTAGCAACATTGTCTAAGGAAGTGAAGAAGCTAAGATATTCGTCAGTGTGAATAGATATTTGGAATTTTAAGCCTCTTGCTTTCCTTGGATGTACTTGTCGCAGGCATGTAACTCTCAAAGTGTCCTATGCGTTCCTCTGTATGATACCCTTGGTAAGTAACACAGAACCACCAATAATTTGTTGAGGTTGAAATTGAGTCATATTTGTCAATTGGCTCGAGACATGATTGATGTTATAATCAATGAATTGATGATTCCAGGATCATTCAGTTCTGGAGCCACATTTTGGCGATATAGGCGAGAGTGTCAACTTATGAAGAGTGCCGATGATTCAGCTTATCGATGATGATAAATTGTATTAATATTTGGTTTGGTTTTCAGGGGCTGAGGCCGTTGAGTACATCATCGGTCATGCGGAGGTGTCCATTGTTTTCGTACAGGATCTGAAGATCCCACTGGTATATATCCAGACCGCCTCGGAAATATTCGTCTCAAGATGTCGTAGTCAATCATTTCCTTATCGTACTTAGCTGACTGTGTTTTTGCTGAAGTCAAGGGTTCTCATCTGACAGAACGATATAAGCTACTTATGAAATAGGCAATAAATTCGATGCAAACTATAAGCATTTCTGAGCTCTCTCCACATGCTGACTCAAAGTTACTGATGAGTCCCCTCGATTTCCACAAAATTGCGTGCAAGGGAAGATGGAGTAGAATGGTTATTCAGGGCGGCTGTGAGTGATGGTCAGATGTTTCTTATCTTTTCTTAATTTCCCATCATATCCTCGTAGAAGCATTGAATTAGGGTTGAATTAGGGCGACTTTTTCTAGACTAATTCAATCTTCTGCGCAGATGATCCAATCTTTGGGGAAGGCTAAGGAATTTATCAAGAGTGAGTGGTGACACGTTTCTCGGACTTTGATTCTTTATCTGCTTACAATTGACTAGAAGGACTGAGGAATGTGAAGATGAATTGGTCATACTCGACAGATGTGTGGTCAGCAATCTGCTCTATTATTACGTATATTGTGCTGAAATATGATATTTGTTTTGTAAAGAGATTGTACATGCTTTTGTTCAGCTGTTCTGAGCATACTTTCTTACCAAAGTTTTGGATAGGTTTTAATGCTTGGCTCTACCGATGCTGACAAAAAAATGTGTTTTGTCCCGCTCTACTCCCAATTCATTATGCAGCCTTCGTTAGTTTCGGTGAAATTCCTGAAGATCAGAGAGCGCAGATTGAGGCTCATGGGCTTGCTGCTTATTCCTGGAATCAGTTTCTGGATCTGGTGAGTAATTATCGTAGTTGCAATTTAAGTCATATTTGTTGATCTTCATAAATTTCACTTATGAAGCATGATCAGAAGCAGACGTAGATTAGTTTGCCAGTTTGCAATTGAGGTTTCCAGAGATAGGACTGATCCGATATAGAGAAAGATCGAGTTGAAATATACCAAGTTGATCGAGTTGTTTCTTGTTTAGTCTGACATTGAGTCATCTCAAACTTCGGCTGTAAAGCTTGGCTGTTCTGACCAATTGCGATGAACAGGGAGAGAAAAACGTTTGTGAGTTTTGTCCTCCCAAAGGAGAAGACATCTGCACAATCATGTACACCAGTGGTACAACCGGAGAACCAAAAGGGGTGCTTATTAAACATGAGAGTATCGTAGATCTCAATACTGCTACGGAACATTTCCTTAATAAACTGGGCGAGAAGGTACGAATATTGGTTCGAAGAGCTTGGTGACCCACAGTTATTTCAACAAAAACAGCCTGGTCATAAAAATATATCGTGGAGACTTTGAATCTTCATAGTGAGTTAATGATAACTCTTGAATGGTGCAGCTTGATGAAAATGACATCTTCTTCTCATTCCTTCCCTTGGCACATATCATGGACCGGTGTCTGGAAGAGTACTTCGTGTATATTGGTGCTTCGATTGGATTCTGGAGAGGGGTAAGACCGACATGTAACTTTGTATTTTTTACGAGTTAAGTCTTGTATCATGTCTTTTACGGTTGCATGGAAGTGCCTTCCTCGTATTTCAAACTTTGACATATTTTGGTTATTGCAGGATGTGAAATTGCTTACCGAGGATATTGCCGCCTTGAAGCCTACATTTTTTGCCGGGGTTCCTCGAGTTTTCGATCGCATCTACACAGGTGACAGTACAGATTCGGTTGTGATTCTCTTCGGTGTGATATGTTGGTTATCAGATGGGTTGAGATGCAAGCGGCTGTTAGTTGCAGGCACTTACAAATAAGTGACTCAATCGTTGGTAGTCTTTCGAACTAGGCGAGTCGGTTGCGTCATAAGTGGCTTTGTTGGTCCTTAGGAGATAGCTCTCGTGTTTTCAAGAGAGAGGGATGCGTTCTGGTATGTTTTTGTCAAGCTCGCTTCCTCTTTTGAGTGTGTCTGACGATCATACATTTCGAATCACAGGATTGAACGCCAAGATCGTTGCTGCTGGTGGAATTAAGAAGCTACTGTTTGACTTTGGCTACAAGATGTGAGTGACTTCGATTGTTGAAACCGTTTCTCGTGAAGAACGATTTACATCTAAAACATACTTCTTCGCCTTCTAGCTCCATCTTCTCAAATTATATGAATATTCTGAAGTTCTGCAATTAAAAAAACATTTTTCAAAACTTTTATAGATTTTGGCCTAGATTCATCGCCAGTTGTTTGACTTTACCAAGTGAATCGTCGTTTGCGCAGGAAATTGAAGAATATCAAGAATGGCAAACCGCAAGAAAAGGCAGCCCCACTCTTTGACCTCCTCGTCTTCAACAAGGTTCGCCTATATGCGAGAACCTGTCAACTTTAGATTCGTGGGGTTCTTGAAAATGATGTGTCGCACACAATCAGGACGTTCAAATTACCTCTTCTTTTTCGGTTTCTCGGCTGAATTTCTGAAAAGACCTCCAAGTCTGGTGGTAGTCGTCAGTGGAATCCTCGAGATCAAGTAATAGTGCTTTATAATTTAAGCATATCTTTTCAAGGATGTAATTTTCCGTGGTGATTTACTCCAGGTCAAAGTTGGTCTTGGAGGTGGCGTACGGCTTATATTGTCTGGAGCTGCGCCTCTGGCGAGCCATGTTGAGGAGTTTTTGAGGACCACAATGTGTGCTCCATGTATTCAAGGATATGGTATGACAACTCGGCAGAAAATGAAAAATCGGCAGATCTCTAAGAACATTTTTCTCTCCCAAGACAGAACTCGTTGCATAACTTGTTTTACTGAACGCTTTTGACATTGCTAAGTACTGAAAGATGGATGTTGTTTTTAAGCTTCAGTGTGGAGGTCCAATTCTGGTATTATTACTAACTCATCCCTCTTGTGTGGCTCGACGATCTTCTATCTTGCAGGCCTGACAGAAACTTGTGCTGGAAGTTTCATATCTCTACCGAATATTATATCTATGCAAGGAACTGTAGGACCCCCCATGCCTAACATCGAGGCACGCCTTGAATCAGTTCCAGAAATGAATTATGAAGCTTTGCCAAAGGATCCGAACACTCCTGCAAGAGGCGAAGTTTGCATCCGTGGTAAAACTGTTTTCGCCGGATATCATAAACGTCCTGATCTCACTGAGGAGGCACTCACTTCTGATGGTTGGTTCCACACTGGTGAGTATTTGGGATACCTTAGGGTAAAGGTGTCCAATGATGTAATAGAAAGCTCAAAATTACAGCATTACTTTTGTAATAGACTTTTAGCCGATAATTTTAATATTCGACAGCTTTGGTGCTGTTGGTTTTCAGGTGATATTGGTGAATGGCAGAAAGACGGAGCCTTGAAGATCATTGACCGCAAGAAGAATATATTCAAGCTCTCTCAAGGAGAGTATGTTGCCGTAGAGAATCTCGAGAATGTGTACGGCCTTTGCCATCCAGTCGAATCGGTAAGATATGGTTATTGCGCATCTAGCCCATGTGTATCCAGTTGGTTATTGCTCTATCTGTACTAATCCAATTGGCGAGCCAGTCAATTTGAATCACCTACTTTTTTCGCAAACACACCAGGTTTCTTAAAGTTATTGAACTGATAATTGCACTCGATCTTTTTAGCTGATCTTCGAGCAATCTCATGCCTACATCTATGCCTTGGTTTTGACCTGTGCCAGATTTGGGTGTACGGTAATAGTTTTGAGTCTTCTCTAGTAGCTGTGGTAGTGCCCAAGCGTGATGTTCTTGAACATTGGGCCGCCGCGAATGGGATCCAAGGCTCGTTCGAAGAGATCTGCAATAACTCCGAAGCGAAGCAGTTTATCTTGAAAGAACTAGGAACCACTGCAAAAAGTAGCAAGGTAAGTGATCATTTCGCGGAGCAAGTGGTTCGTTTTTGCTACATGCACGTTTCTTGGGGTGCATGTGAGTCTACGAACCAAGTAAGCCAAGAACTTTATAAAAGGGTTGTAATTTTGAGTTGTCTAGTTAAACAGTTTTATCTCTTCATTTCTGACCTTGAAGTCCTCCTTACACATGATTCGAAACGCAGTTGAAAGGCTTCGAAGTCATCAGGGGTGTACATCTGGAACCCGAACCATTCGACGTCGAGAGAGACTTGTTGACTCCCACGTACAAGAAGAAGCGACCTCAACTATTGAAGCACTACGAGGTAAGAAGTCTGTCCGTACTAAAATTTGTCGAAATTTGCATTGTTTCAATGAAGAGTCAAATGGCCAGTGCAGAGTAGCCAATTGACTGTTTCAGGTACACGGAGCATTTTCCTTGACAAGCGTTTGTTACGTTGATGTTGTGCAGGCTGTCATCGCCGAGTTGTACAAGGGATGTAGACAATAAGCTATTAGTCCGTTTTTATTGGTGTAGATGTGAAGGGAAGAGTTTCAGCTTTTTTTACAGGTTTCCCGCAGTGCAGACTCTTTGAGTGTTGAAGGAGTGCAATGGCTCTGTAATTATTGTGGTCCCTCTGAAGCCTGTTTGTGATGTTCTATACATAATTCATTCTCAAAGTCAGCTTTTGGACTCAACCAACAACCATGTATTATTCGACATTCTCTTTGATTATACTGAGAACACGTGTCTCAACTTGAATACGATATTGCTCCATTGTCGTAGTGGGCGTCTGGATGCGATGCAAGTTCTTCTCAAAATGTCTAAATATTTATGCTGCCTTGTAAACATCTTGAAAGATTGGCACTTTATATTGAAGTAAAGATGGCAAGATGTAAAATGAAGTTTGCATTGCTTATATGGAAGTAAGGAGGTCCTATATTCTCAATCACTTGAGTACTTGCTACTTAATAACTTGGAAAGCAGTAGGTACTGGTACACATGCTTCATGAATTGTTCACTGTATGTAGTAAGTTCTGTTTACTTGATTCTCGAAATCATAGATGAGCTTCTTCCCGTTGTGTGAGTTTCATACTGATGTCTTTTCACTGAAAATTATAGATAGTCTTAACATTTATTTGTCCCTAAACTCTAATCCCTTATCACATTGTCTTGCAGTTGCAAACAGTTATGAACAGTTATGAACTCAGTTTTTGTTTGGAGCAATAAGATGGTCAGATTAACCTACGGGCACCTGTAAATTAACAGTAAGTAATCTAACTTGAAACCGGAACTGACAAATTGATCTGTCCAGGTGTTAACCAACAGGAGAGTGGGTGAGAGGAGAAGGATATTTGTGTATATTATACTTGAATGTTTAAGTAACAAAATTAAATATCTTAACATGATACAGTGGAAAGTCGATGAAATTGATATCGACCCAGATGTTATGAAAACAATGTAATTGAATACTTCAAACATAGACGGGCAGAATGTCATTAAGGCAAATGAGCATATACAACAGTCACAATTGATAGTGCACCTATCAGATTGGATTTGCCATTAGTGTCAAAATAGCAGCGGAAGACTTAGTAATCAATGGGTAGAGTTGGAAATAACTATAGTGGGGTTTCTTAGATGAGAAGTACTTGAAACAGGCAGTGATTTAAAGTAGGTGGTGAGAAAACATAAAGTCTTCGTATCTCAAATTGAATTCTATTTAACCATATTAATTTTATATGCGAGAGAAAAGAGTAAAGAATTGTGAGAATAATGACTGTTCTTAAAAATGTTGTGAGAATAAATTAGATTAGTTTAGTAGATCAATCTGAATTTCAGTTGGAATGACCATGAGTTATTTCTAAATGTAAAAATGTTGTGAGAATAAATTCGATTACTTAAAATAAGTCAAGCTGAATTTCATGTTGAATGACAATGAGTTGTTCTAAATGTAAGATGCTAGGATGTATTCGGAGTATACAATATGATAAAAATATAAAATGTGATTAACTTAGATGATTGAGCTCGAATAAAGTAACTCAATAATCTTTTATGTAATAGATGGAAGAAATTGCTTACCATTTGAAATTATTTAAACAACAAATCCCAAGATGTGATTTATTTGAAACATTGTTTTGACTAGTTATAAAAAATAAATTTGGTTGATAACTTGCTCATGTTCCTCCTGTTCTTGATGCATCAATGCTCCTTCTTATGACAGATCATTAATGATATAATGATCAAACTCCCTCACAACGAAATTTGTGACTGGAAATTTTTCCTTGTCGGTACGTGGAGCCTTAGAATTCTCTCCCTCTTTCAATAAGCCAAGCTCATTGAAAGAAACATCCATGCTGACAATCACCTTATGGGCCAATGGTTCCCATAGACTGTAAACTTTCACGCCACTAGCCTATCCAAGAAAACAACATTTCTTGGAAGTAGGATCCAACTTAGTACTTTGCTCCTTTGGTGTGGGAGTATAAGCAGTACAACCAAAAATTCTCAAGTGAAAATCTGCCATACATTTATGCTTGAGTTCAAACGGTATGGAAAAATTGATTGCAATAGAAGTATAAAAGTTTACCAAATAAACTGCGGTGTTGATAGCTTCGGACCAAAATTCTCTTGGTAAATCGAATTCGCTTAGCATACTCTGCATCTTCTTCAAAACTGTTTGAGTCTCTCGGAAACAACGTTTTGTTATAGACTGTAAACTGTCATGAAATGACAAGTAATCCCCTACTCTGAACAATATCTCTGAAACTCCTCAGAAGAATATTCACCGCTATTATCTGATCGCAAATATTTTACCCTCTGGCTAGTTTGAGTCTCAACTTGTATGCGCCAAGTTTTGAAGGTGAGAAACACCTCTGACTTGTGGGTAAGAAAGAATACTCACACATACATGGAGTAATCATCTATAAAAGATACATAATAGAGCTTCCCTAAGAGTGAAGCAATAGGAGATGGATCCCACACGTCACTATGTACATACTCTAGTATCTCTATGGAACTATGAGTTCCAACACTTAAAGTGCGCCTATGCTGTTTGTCCATGATGCAATGTTCACAAAATGCCAAGTCAACTATACCCAAACTAAATAACAAATTTTTCTCATCAAGAAGAGATATGTATCTATCACTCATATGGCCTAGTCGGGAATGCCATACATGAAACATCTCTATGCGAAATATGGTAAAGTGAACTTCTTCACAAATAGTGGTGTCCTTTAACGAGTACAGATTATTGTGCTTGTATTCCTTAAGTATAACCTTCTTATCACTCGATTTGACATCTAAGATGCTTTACCTAGAGCTCTACTCTAAGCCGTGTGAGTCTAACATTCCAAGAGAGATCAAGTTTTTTCCCATGTTAGGTATAAATCGAATGTGTGTCTGCGTACGATTGACACCATCAAACATGCAGATCTTTACAGATTCAACACCCTCAATTTCACAAGGTTGGTCATTCCTGTAATGACAGACAAATACCAAAATGGAGCATAATGTTACAGATCCGATCCCACGAGGATAGAAACAACCACAAAAGTCACGATTTGTCACAGAATAGCATTCTATTAAAGAGTTTCACTTCTTAGGCCAATGCCACTCCCAGAAGACACTATCCAGCTAGAGCCGAAGACCCGCAGAGTAGTGCAAAACCACACTCACAGCATGAACTTTTCCAAACAACACATGTAGGAATCGCTTGCAATTCCACACTTATATTTCAGGGGGAAAACTTCCCAGCATTGCATACATCCCGACACACTGACCCGAATACTCAAACTTGAACTTGCTTAAATCCCAAGGAGCCTCGACTACTTAGGACATTCAAACCGAATACACACAACTCCTTATGCGGTAACTTCGACAAACAGGAGCGCACTGTGCCCACTGTTTGGATCAAACACCAGCACACAGAGACAATGGATACATGTTTACAGTCAAGACAAGCCAATTGACAGAAAAGCCCCCCAAGGAATGAACCTTGGGCCTCTTTATTCATAATGGCAACTCTGGAATATCAACCGCTTGAGGCGAATCGGTCTCAGGGGCTGTGCCGTCCGATGTAGCGATTACGGCGTCGTCTAAACTTCCATCTACTCCTATCCTACGCAACACGTTTACAATCTCTACTTCTACATTATGGCGCGTCTCATTCAATCCCTCTGTAAATGTATTAACTAACTCTACAATATGTTTGTGTCCTGCGGATCCGCTGGCCTTTGCGCTCATCATTTGTCGCTCAAGCGAATCAAGCTTCAACCACTTCACCGTTTGCAATCCCCACATCGCGATTCCGTTCAGACACTTCTCCATACGCAACTTCAACTCGTTGGTTGACTCTTCCCGTAGCTGACGGTAGGCCTTCTCTGCCTTCTCCATTCTCCTTTGCGACTCTCGTAATCTCATCTCTGCCTTTCCTAACTGCTCTCGTAACCGTCGATAGTCAGATTCAACCTTTAATCTACATTTGACCTCCGAAGACCTGGCCGATTCGCAATCCACCAATTTCTTGACCCAATCCGCTAACTCTTCTTCGTGCTTCTGGTTTCCCGCCGTGTCATGGCTCAAAACGTTGGATCAATTTGAGTTGAGACACGTTGAGTTTGAATTGAAGTCGGGGAACGTTAGGAGTCGGCTAACGTTGGGCCGTGGCAGACGGTCGAGGAGCGTTGGATGGAATCGACACCTTCCAGGCATATATTAGAGGCGAATTTGAAGTACTGTCAGGTCTTCGAGTTGAGCCTTTCGCGTCGGGGTTTTTTCCCTTAGCTTCGACTCTGATTCTACCTGCGAATAGTGAGTTTGGCTCGACTCTTTGTACAGTTTGTGTTTCGACACTTATTTTACTTGAAGAACTGGATTACCAAGTTGGTATTGTGTTTGTGTTCAGTTTCTTTTTCTTTTGTTTTTTTTCAGTTCTTGTGTTTTTTTTTTCAGTTCTTGTTAGTTGGCGCAAATTCTCGTCGCTGGTCGAGGTACAAGACGGCAAAGAGGCAAACGAAGGCTCGATCGGCCTTTTGTTTTTCATCGCAGCGCTGGATGGCAGCAGGAAGATGACGTCGAGGTGATGGTAATTTTTAGCTGAGGCAGGCAGGAATGTAGAAGTGCAGAAGCTCAAGAGATGTGGAGTTCTGCCTGTTTGAACTTCGCAAGACGTCCAACCGATGAAGTTGTTGCGTCCGGGTGTATATACAGTCATTCAAGTCTTTGTCGATCGGTGAATATATCAATCTCTACAGCAAAATTTGTGTGAAACGACACGTAACTACACATTTTCTGTGGAGAAACGTCGTTGTAGGGCTAGAAATTGTGTGCGAGCAAGTGAGTTCGTGTGTGAGTATGTGTGAGCTGCTGCTGTTCTAGTCCAAGTCAAGCGCTGGTTTGAAATTTCAGGTTTTGTTTTTGGATCTTTTGACCGGATCCCGTTGCTTGGGAAGGTTCTGCTCTACGGAGTGTTAGAAAAGCCTGGCACGGAGAAATCGGAAGTCACAACTCAGGTTCTGCCTTCAATTATCCTCCTGAGAGCAACCAACTAACGAGATGGGTGGAGTTCATTGTTAGGCGGCGGATGCAGCGTCGCTCAGGATGAAAGACGTCCTTTGAAATAGGAAAGTAGTGATGGATTTGGTGTACGTAAATCGCGTCGAGATTTGCGTGTAGGACTGTAGATCAAATCCGATTTCCGACCTTGGTTTTTTGAGATTGTGAACACTGCCACTTTGCAAAGAATGGCGAGATTACCGAAAGCGGATTTCTTGGATTCTTGGTGAGACGCGCGTCAGCATTTGATGGACTTTTACTTCCCGGCTGTGATGTTACCTCCATTTC